GACTCCAACTCAAAAAAAAAAAAAAAAAGAAACCAACACAGATAAGTATATTCTGTGTGATATCACTTATATGATGCTCAAAAGAGGAAGAACTAATTGATGACAGAGGTCAGATAGCGGTTGGCTATCTTTGAAGGGTGTCAGCAGGGAGGAGGCCTAAGGGAACCTCCTGGGGACCTGGAAGTATGTGGAACTGGGCAGTGGCTACTCAGCTATGTAGAGATGGAAAACATTAATTAGCTTTACACTTGAGAGATGTGTGCTTCACTGTACCTAAGTTACCCATCAATCAAAAGAAAAACATTCAGAAAAAAATTTTAAATCGTGTATTGGCTCTACCAAAGCAGCTTTGAGACAAGTCCCTTAGCTGTCCCCACTCCACCCTAGGGATAAGCCCCTTCTGTGTGAAATTCTGAAGCTTCTGCTATAGAGAACTTCAAAAGTTGTCTGCTGCATTGATCCTGGGGTGTGTGTCTCTTTGGGGTATAGAAATCTGTGGGAGCTGCCTGAGGTCAGGACGAGATGGAGGGCCTCTTCAGGAGTGGGATGAGACCTCATCATACATGAGTGCATGGCAGCATTTCTGGGTAAAGGAACCAAAAAAAATGTACCTTCCAAACAGGACACTTTTGAGAGTAGAAGGGGCTCCCTTAATATTTTCATCAGAACAACAGACATATACCACGATGTCTCAGGTGAGGGAGTATGTAATGGAACTTCTTGAGATGAGACTTGCCAGATGGACTGGAAAGTGCACATACTGGGACAAGTGTGACTTGAGTTGTTTGGGACAAGGATGAGGGTACAAGAGAAGGAAACAGGCAAAGAAAGAAGCCTGTAATGGGCCAAGGGTGCAGAGGTGTTATATATGATCACTCTTCAGGGAATTGTGTCTCCAGCTGCTCACCCGCCTTCTCCCCGAATTGACTGTCCCTTCTCTGGAACTCCTAAGCCTGACCCCACTCCCTGGCCCTCCCAGCCCACGGTTACCCTGACCCCACTCCCTTTTCCCAGAACTCAGTCGCCTGTAGCCCCAGCCTGTGGTTCTCTCCTAGGCCTCAGCCTTTCCTGCCTTCGACTGAAACAGCAGCATCTTCTAAGCCCTGGGGGCTTCCCCGGGCCCCAGCCCCGACCTAGAACCCGCCCGCTGCCTGCCACTGCCGCTTCCTCTATAAAGGGACCCAAGCGTCCGGGCCCAGGGGCCCCGCACAGCAGGTGAGACTCTCCTACCCCATCTCCTTGCGCTGCCTGTGCACCGGACTCCTACTCTACAGTATCCTGTCACCGGCCCCTTCTGCACCTGCTGCCTGGATCCCCGGCCTGCCTGGGCCTGGGCCTTGGTGGGTTTGGTTTTGGTTTCTTTCCTGTCTCTGACTCTCCATCTGTCAGTCTCTTTCTCTCTGTCTCTGTCACACATTCTCTGTTTCTGCTATGATCTCACTCTGTTCCCTTCCCATTTCTCTTTCTGTCTCCCTCTGCTCACCTTAGAGCTTCCCTGACTGCATCTTGTCCCCTTCTCTGTCTGTCACCTTATCTCTCCAGGTGGTTGTCCCCGCGCGGGCGGGCGGGAAGTCTGTCTCCCGCAACGTGCCCCGCCCTGCTCACTCTCTCTCTCTCTCTCTCTCTCTCTCTCAATCTCTCTCTCTCTCTCAATCTCTCTCTCTCTCTCAATCTCTCTCTCTCTCAATCTCTCTCTCTCTCTCCCCCCCTGCAGGTTCTCCCCATGACACCACCTGAATGTCTCTACCTCCTCAGGGTGCGTGGCACCCCCCTCCACCTCCTACTTCTGGGACTGCTGCTGGCCCTGCTGCCTGGGGCCCAGGTGAGGCAGCAGGAGAATGGGGGCTGCTGGGGAGGTCCAGCCAAATCTTGAGCCCTTGAGCCCCCTTCAATTCTATTCTCCCCTAGGGACTCCCTGGTATTGGCCTCACACCTTCAGCTGCCCAGACTGCCCGTCAGCATCCCCAGAAGCATTTCGCCCGCAGCACCCTCAAACCTGCTGCCCACCTCATTGGTAAACATCCATTTGACCTCCCAGACGTGTACCTCCAACTCCCCTCCTAACCCCCACTTCAGGGACCTAAGCAGCCACCCTACATCTCCCCCAACTTCCTGGACCCCCCAAAACAGAGGAAGCCCACTCTCACTTCTCCTTCAACCATCCCTAAGAAACTCAATCATCTAGTCCCTGCTTTCTCAGGGATTGAGACCTCTGACCTAGACCCTTGACCCTCTCCCCACCCCCATGACTCTTCCTAGGAGACCCTAGCAAGCAGGACTCACTGCACTGGAGAGCAAACATGGATCGTGCCTTTCTCCAACATGGCTTCTCTTTGAGCAACAATTCCCTCCTGGTCCCCACCAGTGGCATCTACTTCGTCTACTCCCAGGTGGTCTTCTCTGGGAAAGCCTGCTCCCCAGAGGCCACCCCCATCCCTGTCTACCTGGCCCATGAGGTCCAGCTCTTCTCCTCCCAGTACCCCTTTCATGTGCCTCTCCTCAGTGCCCAGAAGACTGTGTGCCCAGGGCCACAGGGACCCTGGCTGCACTCAATGTACCATGGGGCTGCATTCCTGCTCACCCAAGGAGACCAGCTATCCACTCACACAGATGGCATCTCCCATCTACTCCTCAGCCCCAGTAGTGTCTTCTTTGGAGCCTTCGCTCTGTAGAACTTGGAAAAATCCAGAAAGAAAAAATAATTTGTTTCAAGGCCTTGTCTCCATTTTGCCTCCATTCTGACTGTTTCAGGGGTCACCACCACCTCTCCTTTGACCATTCCAACAGTCTCAAGTCTTCCCTACTCAAGTCTCCTGGAGTTTTCAAAGAGGAAAATCTAAACACCTCAGGGGACCATACCTCCCTGAACCATGCCGGATGTTTGGCTGAGGATTTCAAGCCTGCCTAGAAATTCCCAGCCCACGACTGTTTTTTCTGCCAGCTAGATGGGACCTAGACCTGGACATAGGAGGAGAAGCAGGCAAATGGGGGGACTTGAGAGGATGACTGGAGGCAGGGAGGTAGACTATTTATGAAAGGAAATAATTAAATTATTTATTTATGGAGGGTGGAGAGAGAGGAGAAACAGAAAGACATCCAAGGGGAGAAACAGGTCCAGGAGATGAGGAGTGAGAGGGCATCGGTTCAAGGCTGACAGAAAGAGAGAGAGAGAGAGAGAGAGAGGTGCGTATGAGGGACCAAGAGGCTCTGGAAGGCAATGAAAGTCTCTGAAAGTCAGTCACCCGACACCCCATACGGAGACATCTGCACCCTCAATGAAGACCAATAAACCTCTTTTCTCTGAAATGCTGTCTGCATATGTATGTTTATTGGGAGGGGAGAATTTCCCAGTCTTCCTCAGGAATAGAGGGCGGGATGGAGGCCTCAGAGGGGGCATGAACTGTGGGCAGAACAAGGAGGGCTCAAGGAGCTCAAGGGATATATGATGGACTCACAGGGGCAGAGCAACCAGACTGCTCACAGGAGAACCAAAGAAGAAGCTGAACAGACAAAGGAAAATGGGAGTCCAGGGTCTGGAGGGTGAGGGTGGGGGGCCCCTAGGAGATACGGCCATATGTAGAGGCTCTGAGGAATGGAGGTTACAGGAGACCTCTGGGGAGAAGCGAACATACCAAAGGGTAGGGGAATGAGGGCAATGAGGGTGGAGTATGGGGACCCCCAAGCCATGGCCAGGTGAAGGGTCTCAAGGAGTGAAAAAGCTTGGTCAGGTGTGGTGGCTCACACCTATAATCCCAGCACTTTGGGAGGCTGAGGTGAGAGGATTGTCTGAGCCCACAGATTCAAGGCCAGCCTGGGCAACTTGGTGAGATCTCATCTCCACAATAAATAAATAAATAAATAAGAAAAAGCCTCCAGGATTAGGAGGTATGGAATAGAGGGGGCATTTGAGCAGTCGTGGCTACCCTGAAGCTCAGAGGTGAGGACTTCTTGAAACAAACAGGGGCCTCAGACTTTCTTGGAAGTCAAGACTGAAACCAGCAGTGTGAGTCCCAGGTCAGAGTGAAAGGAGAAGGCCTGCCTGTCCAGTGGGCTCCGTGAATTCCCAGAGCTGATTACACTGCCCTGGGGCTGTCCCTGGCTTGTCCCTGCTACTCCCACCCAGCCCTTCCAGAGGCCCTAGGCATGCCCCTAGTCTCAAGCTGCCCTGCCCCCAGCTCCCTTTTCCCCCAGGGACCCAGACACCGGCCTCAGAACCCAGCGGTTTTCCCCTTCAACTCCATCTTCTCTCCCTCAAGGACTCAGTTTTCTGAAGCCCCTCCTATTTCTACTTCTACCCCTACTTGAGTCCTGCTTTGAAATGAGTGAAACAGGTCACTAACTTGGTCTCCAAAAGAAATGGAGACAATAGGTTGTCTCCAGGGCCCTACATACACATTGGTAACTGACCCAGGAAGCCCATCTCAGAATCCAAGTGGGGAGGGTGGGGAGTATCCTTGATGCCTGGGTGTCCCCAACTTTCCAAATCCCCGCCCCCGCAATGGAGAAGAAACCGAGACAGACACAAGGTACAGGGCCCACTACCGCTTCCTCCAGATGAGCTCATGGGTTTCTCCACCAAGGAAGTTTTCCGCTGGTTGAATGAGAGCCTCTCCCCGCCCTCCTCTTGCCCCGCGGGCATATAAAGGCAGCTGTCTGCACACCAGCCAGCAGAAGCTCCCTCAACGAGGACAACAGAGGACCAGCCAGAAGGGAGAGAAGCAACTCCAGAACCCCCTGGAAATAACCCTCAGACGCCACATCCCCAGACAAGCAGTCAGACAGGTTCTCTCCCTCACACACACTGCCCCAGGACTCAACCCTCTCTCTCTCTGGAAAGGACGCCATGAGCACTGAAAGCATGATCCGGGATGTGGAGTTGGCTGAGGAGGCACTCCCCAAGAAGGCAGGAGGGCTCCAGGGCTCCAGGCGGTGCTTATGCCTCAGCCTCTTCTCCTTTCTGCTCGTGGCAGGAGCCACCACCCTCTTCTGCCTGCTGCACTTTGGGGTGATCGGCCCCCAGAGGGAAGAGGTGAGTGCCTTGCCAGCCTTCATCCACTCTCCTACCCAGAGTGAAATGGGGGAGAAAGAGTGAGAGAGATGGGGTGGGTGAAAGAAGTGTGCTGATGGGGGAGGAAGGGGAGGAAAATCTTAGAGAAAGACAAGAAGGCAAGAAAACAATGTGGAGAGAAACAGTGGAGGGGGAAGAGAGAGAAGAAAGATGGAGAGACAGGGTAACTGGCACAGGGAAGGTACTCACGAAATGTTTATGGTATGAATGAATGAATGAGCAAGCAAATATACATATATAAAGAGAGATGCGGGATGTGAGCAGATAGATGAGGAAGAAATAAGTGACATGAATGAAGATGGTGAGATAGAAAGAGATGTGGGAGATATGAGAGATAAGGAGAGAGATGAGGGAGACATAAGGAGAGATGAAGGTGGGGTGTCTGGCACAAGGAAGACACTTGAAAGAGCTGTTAAATGCGTGGGTGATGAATAAATGGATGAATGGAAAGAGAAAACCAGATACATCCAGGTTAGAGTGCAGCCAGCTGTTTCTCCTTTGAGGGTGACTTTTGATGCTAATCCTTCTTCTCCCCAACAGTTCCCTGGTGGCTTCCATCTAATCAATCCTCTGGCCCAGACACTCAGTAAGTGTCTCCAAAGCCTCTCTCCTCATTCTGGGTTTGGTTTGGGAAAGGGTGTTAATACCAGGATGGAAGTAGTGGAGGACATTTGGAGTTTTGGTTTCTGGGGAGGAGGACTAGAGGTCAAAATCGGGATATATTTTCTAGAAAGTTTAAGTGTCTTAGCTTTTTCTTTCCTCTTTCCCCCACAGGATCTTCTCGAACCCCAAGTGACAAGCCTGTAGCCCATGTTGTAGGTAAGAATTCTGAGGATGTGTCTTGGGACTTGGAGCAACAAGATTTGGGGGGCTGAACCTGAACCGAAGGTAGACAGACCTTGGAAGCTGTGAGAAGGACTTGCTGAGGTCAAGGGGAGGGTGGAGGAACAGGATAGGCCTTAAGGGGGTACTCAGAACCTAGTGGACAGGTGGAATGTGGGAAGACAGATGACAGGAACCGGATGTGGGAGTGGGCAGAACTTGAGGGCCAGGATGTGGAGAGTGAACTCACAGGGCCACACTGACTCACCTCTCCCTCCCTCTCTCTCTCCCTCCAGCAAACCTCGACAACCGGGGGCAGCTCCAGTGGATGAACCGGCATGCCAATGCCCTTCTGGCCAATGGCGTGGAGTTGACAGACAACCAGCTGGTGGTGCCATCAGACGGACTGTACCTCATCTACTCCCAGGTCCTCTTCAAGGGCCAAGGCTGTCCCTCCACCCATTTGCTCCTCACCCACACCATCAGCCGTATCGCTGTCTCCTACCAGGCCAAGGTCAACCTCCTCTCAGCCATCAAGAGCCCTTGCCAAAGGGAAACCCCTGAGGGCGCTGAGGCCAAGCCCTGGTATGAGCCCATCTACCTGGGTGGGGTCTTCCAGTTGGAGAAGGGTGATCGACTCAGCTCTGAAATCAATCAGCCCAACTATCTTGACTTTGCTGAGACCGGGCAGGTCTACTTTGGCATTATTGCCCTGTGAGGGGGATGGACATCCATCCTCCCCCACCCCCAATCCCTTTATTATCTGCTCCTTCAGACCCCTCATCTTCTTCTGGCCTAGAAAGGGAATTAGGGGCTCATGATTGAACCCCAAGCTTAGAACTTTGTGTAACACCACTACCACTTAGAAACCTAGAGTGTGTGGATTTGTGGCCTGGACAGTGCAGCACTGTCCACCACCAAGAATTCAGACTGGGGCTTCCAGAACTCACCAGGGACCTAAGGTTTTGAGCCCTGAATCCAACCAAGGACATCTGGAATTTGTGGACCAGGGAGCCTTTGGTTCTGGCCAGAACATTTCAGAACATCCCTTAAGAAGACTCACCTAGAACTTGACATAAGTGGATCTCAGGCCTTTCTCTCTTCAGATGTCTCCAGATCCTTCCCTGAGACATGGAGTCTTACCCTCCCCATGGGGCCAGCTCCTTCTATTTATGTTTGCACTTGTGATTATTTATTATTTATTTATTTATTATTTATTTACTGAGAAATGTATTTATTTGGGAGGTCAGAGTATCCTGGGGGGACACAATGTAGGAGCTGCCTTGGCTTAGACATGTTTTCTGTGAAAACGGAGTTGAACTATAGGTTGTTCCCACCCAGCCTCCCAGTCTTTGTGCCTCCTTTTTGCTTGTATTTTTTAAAAATATATTTATCGAATCAAATAATGCTGATTTGGTGACAGACTGTGTTGCTACATCGCTGAACCTCTGCTCCCCAGGGGAGTTGTGTCTGTAATCGCCCTACTGGTCAGTGGCGAGAAATAAAGTTTGCTTAGAAAAGAAGCATGGTCTCTTTCTTGGAATGAATTCTTCATGCACCACACCTTGAGGGTGGAAAGCAGCTCCCTGAAATCCTCTCCACAGGGCTTAAGATCCCATCCTTAGATTCCTGGGGACCAAGGAACCCTATATAAACAAAGCCCAACAGACTATTCTCTCCTTCCCTAGGAAAACAAGAGCCTGAACCTAATTACCTCTCCCTCAAGGCATGGGAATTTCCGACTCTGGGAATTCCGATCCCTGCTGGGAAAGTCCTGCAGCTCAGGTGAGATTTCCGGCTGTTGCAGCCTGAGAGAGCTGGGGAGGAGCTACATTCTCAAGCACCTGAATCACAGCCAAGGGACTTCCAGAGATTCAGGTGTCTAGGCTCCAAATCACTTGTCTTAACTGTACAACCTGAACCAGACACTTAACCTCATCTATCCAGTGGAGATAGGAATGTCCACCGCAGATGGAGCATGTAAGAGACCTAACCTCCATCAGAGCACAGGAGGCACTCAATGAATTCTGGCTTACTTCCTTCATCCAGATCCCAGCTGTTCCATTCTCTCAGTGGGTAAAATTGAAGAGACTGTAGACAATAAAGAGCAAGGAATAATAGCTGGGCATAGTGGTACACACCTATAGTCCCAGCTGAGGTAGGAGGATCACTTGAGCCCAGGAGTTCAAGTCTAACCTAGGCAGCATAGCAAGGTCCTGGGTCAATTTTTAAAAAGGAAGAGTTGGGCTCATTCCTGTAATAGCAGCACATTGGGAGGTGGAGTTGAGAGTACTGCCTGAGCTCAGGGGGTCAAGACCAACCTGAGCAACTTGGCAAGACCTCGTTTCTGCAATGAATCAAAAAATTAGCTGTCTGTAGTGCCATGCACCTGTAGTTCCAGCTACTTGAAAGGCTGAAGTGGAAGGATCACTTGAGCCCAGCAGGTTGAGGCTGTAGTAGCTGTGATCATGCCACTACAGCAGAGTGAGACACCGACTCAAAAAAAAAAGAACATGAATAAGATGTGGGTGAAGGACACACATGCTAGCTTGTTCTCATTGGTCTTTTTTCACAAATGAGGGGAGGAGTGTGAGGTAGGTGAACTGGAAATAGAAACATACTCCATCCCCCCAGAAAGGCTTTTCTGGAAACAGTCAATAACAAATATGGAGTTGGAAATGAAGCCCCAGAGAGTGGGAGCCCCCACTGGGCTCAGAGGTTGGGCTTTGCTTCCGGCCTGGGGTGGCAGGCAGGGGAAAACCGTGTGGTATGCTGTGTGGGTGGGGTGACCCACTGGGTGACCTAGATAGGGACTTGGGTCTCCTTCTGCCTCCTCTTGCCTGATGCTGAAAGTCGGTCATGGAGTGGGGGGGCTGCTGTTACCCCATACTTGCTCACTTTTGGGAAGGAGGACTTAAAGTGTGAACCAAAGGTGAGAACTTTCCATCCCACCCTAGCTGGGACCACGTGCCATCAGTTTTTCCTCCCCGCGCCCAGACCTCCCTAGTGTCTTCAGGTACCACAGGCTTCTCCCTGGTCCCATCTCTCTTAAACACCCTCCCCTACTTTCTCCCTCAGCCTCCTTCCTTCAGACCCAGTAAGTCTTGATTACCGCCCCTCAGAGAAGAGTTGACTGTGGGCTAGGGGCTAAAGGGGGCCTTCAGGCAGCCAGCAGGGGGAAAGTGTTGGGCCCCACCAAGCTTCATTCCTCAGCCATATTAGGGGTTCACCCCGTAGCTAGGCCTGAGTGGTGCTTGCCTTCCCCTGCTGACCTCTCTCACTGTGGGAGGGATCCAAGAGAAAAGCGTGGTGCAGAATCTGGTGGGAACCATATGGCCCTGAGAGTCAGAATGACCGGAGATGCTTCAGGATTTGAGGAGACTTCTTACCTTCTGCCCTCGAACTGGACAAATGCTGAGGCATGGCAGCTCAGTGGCAGAAGTGGGTGGTACAGGCAAATCACCACCCCTGGGAGCAAAGGCCACACGCACTGTTATGAATTGTTTCAAACAACCAGAAAAAGATACACAATATTTAATCCACACTTGGGCACCCACCCTGAATTTAGACATGTTCTCATCTCAGCATCTGTATTGGCAGCACTGCAGCTTTACTCTCTTTATTTTCATCAGGCTCAAAAATCAGTTTCCAGTCTCCCACAATTTTCCCATTGCCATGGAGTCTCCGGTACCTGGGCCCCCAATATTCACATGCTCGCACCATCAGTCCTTTTTCCGGGAACGTGGGCAGCCCTCAGCCCACCATCACTGCCCCAAAGAAGGTCTTCCCTCTGGCGTAGTCCACCATGTCGGGGTGACTGATGTTGACGTACACCCTTTCGCCCCTCCGGAGCTGCACCAGGCCGCCGAACCCCACGCTCGTGTACCAGAGAGGCCCTTGCCTCCCGTTCGGGTCCAGCACCGGGGTCACGGTCTCGGCGCCCTCGAGCAGCAGTTCGTGAGTGCCCGGCCCCGCGTAGGCGCCCCCGGCCCGGTACAGCGAGCTGCGCAGCGTGACCGAGCGGCGCTGGGGGCCCCGGTCGGCAGGGGGCGCCCGACCCCGGTAGCCGACGTGACAGTAGAGATAATAGAGGCCGTCCAGCGGGAGGGCCAGCCCCTCGGCGTCGGAGAACTGCGTCCCGCTCCTCAAAAATGCTTCTTCTTTCGTGGCCTCCCAGCCTAGCCTCTGCCCCTTCATCCAAGCCCCTACGGAGAAAACAGCCCGGGGGACTTTGGGGAATCCCATTCCAGGAGGAGCGATCCAGGCTCCAGACTTCGGGCGGGTGGGCGACTTTTAGATTCCTGCAGGAACCGAGCCGGGCAGGGGGAAGAGGGTGATGGTGCAACCTCTGGAATGATTATAAGTTGGGACACCTGGATGTGGGGTGCGGGACGTTATGGTGGGGACATCCAGGCCGGGTTTTGCTTGCTCCGGGGGAAAGAAGCAGCTACGACGTGGGGGACGAGGGGGGCGGGGCACACCACCAGCAGAAGGGTGGGTGCTTTAGCAGCGAGAGGCGGTTCAGCGGGTGGGAATAACTGAGCCAAGGGACTCTGTGGACGAGCAGAACTGGATCCTTTGGATTATTTAAACGCTTGTTCAGATCCTTACCTATGAGGTGGGCAGCCGGGAGCCTGGGGCTGAGATCTGTTTCTGGCTCCTCCTCCAGCAGCTCCTGAAACCCTGAAAGAAACCAAGAATCCTCCACTGGGGGGCGGGGCGGCCACCCATGCAGGCTCCCCCTGAGAGGACAGGGCCAGGACCCAGCGATGGGGACCCTGGATTCCCGGAGGAAGGGGGCATCTGGGGATGCTGTGGGAAGCTGGGTGTTCCTGAGGGGCTGGAGCAGGGGAGGAGAGATCATCTGCTCTTACCCAGTCCTTGCTGGGCCTGTGCTCCCGGGTCAGACGTCTCCATTACCTGGTCGGTTGGGGTCACAGTGCCCAGAGTTCAGATTCAGCTGATGTCAACAGCGCCCCTCCCAAAATGAGCCCAAGCTCCTGCCTGGGATTTCTTCCACCAGCACCATCCCCAACACACATCTCCCAGGAAGGGAGCACAAGCCAGGCACATGTACTTTGGCAGAGAGATGTGTCTTGAGAAGAGAAGAGACAGAAGGGGCTTGCAGACAGCAGGACACAAGACACATCAACATCACAGGATCATGGAAAGAGGCAGCAGAGAGACAAGACATCCCCACCAGGGACAGCCAGCCAGATGAGACAAAAGACCACCCGCACAGTCAGAGCGAAGTTACCATGGGCAACACAGCCCTCCCCCAGGGCCCGTTGCAACCACTCACCAGTCCTCCCTGATTCTTGGGCGTTAAGGCCAGCACAGCCAGGACAGTGATAGGCACTGCCACCAACAGGGTCACCAGGGAAGTGGCTCCTGCCACAGTCAGCAGGAGGGAGCCCCTCCCCTGGGGCCTCCTTCCCCTGCCCTCCAGCCCCAGTGTCCCCATTGAGACTCTGATGCAGGGTCAGGGGAGGGGGCTTTCATATCTCAGGGGTGGGGCCACCATCTCCTTATAGACCCACACACCTGGCTGGGACTTTCCGAACACCCCTGCTCCCCTCACCCAGCTTCCTGTTTACCCAGAGCTGGGGTGGGGCAGCTGGATGCCTGGGTTCTCTGAACTGGGGAAGAAGTTGGGGTAGAAAGACAGGCTCTCAGGGTAGAACTGGGCCTTAGAAATCTTCTGGCTCTGCAGGAAGATAAACTGAGGCCCAGGGAGGGGAAGTAGCTTGCAGAAAGTCAGGCAGCAGGCCTGTAATGATAGCACAGATCTTCTATAACCCAGAAGTAGGCGCTGGTGGGAGAGCTGATCCACATCCCCAAGGTCAAGGACTGGAGTAGGAGGACAAGAACTGGGGTCTTGCAGGATGGCTGTCTGGGGCCTGAGAAGAACTGATCCCCACACTGGGCTGACTTCCCATTTCCTTGCTCACTTCTAGTCCCCTGCACTAGGTAAGAAAAGCAGAGTGAGGCCTCAGCCTCGCCACTGGTGACTGACCTGTGAGGAGGGATGGAAATGGAACACTACCTCCCTTCACAATGAGTGAAGAAGGAGAAGGATGAGGCACACCCCATCGTCCAGGAGCTCTACAGCCTAGAATGAGCCCCACCCACTAGGAAGGGCTTACTAAATGTTTATGAATAAATGAATCAAAAGGCAAATGAGTGCAAGAGTAGCCAAAACAGTGCAGCAAGAACCAGATGAATGGTAGACCTAGGCAGTGTGGTAGAAGTTGAAAGACGAAAGACCAGGTCCAAGGAAGTTGGAGGTGGTCCCGGTCATCTCTTCTTGATGGCATCTCTAGTGTGTTTGGATAATAATAATGCAACTGATACACAGAACGCACTTAATATGTGAATGCCACTGATTTACACACTTTTTCTTTTTTTGAGGTGGGGTCTCACTCTGTTGCCCAGGCTGGAATGCAGTGGCACAATCACAGGTCACCGCAGCCTTGACCTCCTGGGCTTAAGTGATCCTTCTGCCTCAGCCTCCAGAGTAGCTGGAACTATAGACACATGCCACCACTTCTGGCTAATTTTTTTTTTTTTTTTTTTTTTA